AAAAAAAAAAAAAATACACTCAAACACGATTATTTCTATAAAGCATTTGAATGAATGAAGATAATTTTGTTTTCAAAATTATTCTTACTTTTGATTTTTCACTTTTCGTCTTTGGAGCCCCTTGTGCTAGGATTCACCTGGGGGTGGGTGCAGCCTAAGAAGGGTCTAGACCCCATCCTCAGGGAGCTCTGTCTTGCAGGGGTGTGAGGTAGGGACCCAGGACTGTAAGATAAGGGGGAGTGTCCAGAAGAGAACACGGAGAGGCACCACAGATGATGGGAGAAGGCGTGTGTGCCCTGCTGTGGGGACTCAGGAATGGCTGCTTGAAAGAGAGGACTTTGGAATTTGGCCTTGGACATGTAGAATGTAGAGTTTGGGCGAGAACATTTAGGAGAGAGAATTGGCATGATGAAAGGCATGGAGGCAAGGGAGTGGGTTTGGCCACTTGGGCCAGAATGGAGGGGTCATGTAGGAGCAGTAGGAGATGAGGACAGGGAATGCCTCCTAAAAGGTCAGAACTCATTTCCTAGTAATAGGGAGCCCTGGGAGGACGTAGCGCAAGGAAGTGGTGTGATTAGAGCAGAACCTTAGGCAAGGCGATGTGGTGGGAGATGGGAGTGATGGAAAACAGGGAGAGCAGACAGGAGGCTGAGGGCTGAGTGGCATGATGGCAGTGGGGATGAAGACTACCTTTCAGCTGGGTGGGTTCCTCTTCTTAGGAGGCCTCCCCGACCCTGGAACCAGGGTCTAGGTAGGGAGCTCCATACAAAGGGAGCCTTATTGGGTTCTCACTTGGGAGAGACTTCCGAGAAGCTGTCCCACTAATGGCCACACTTACTACTCTCCCCACTCTGGCTTGGGAGATCCTGACCCCTTAGGAACAAAAGCTCCATGTAGACCTGGTAGTTTGGATGAGGTCTTCCTAGACCCAGGGAAGGGGAGCAGAATATTTGTGGGCCAGATGCCCCCTCTTCTCCCCACAGACAACCGGACATATCACTTCCAGACGGAGGATGAACATGAGTGTGAAGCGTGAGTACCCTTACAGCCAGCTTGGCATGGGGTCAGGGAAGCCTTATTTAATCTCTAGCCTCTGGGCATGATACAAGCCCCCACAATCAGGCTGTCTCCCCCACCTCACCCTGCACACTCTCCACAGATGGGTGTCAGTACTGCAGAACAGCAAGGATGAAGCCTTGAGCAGTGCCTTCCTTGGGGAGCCCAGCAGTGGCCCAGGGCCCTGCGGGGGCACAGGGCTGGACGGGGAGCCCCGGGACCTCACAAAGCTGCTAATCGCTGAAGTGAAGAGCAGGCCTGGTAATGGCCAGTGCTGTGACTGTGGGGCTCCAGGTTGGTCAGTGGGGTTGAGGTGAGTGGAGGGGGAGGGAAGGCCAGGGGCCATATCCCCAGGGACGAGCTGCTATACCTTGCAGACCCCACGTGGCTCAGCACCAACCTGGGTGTGCTCACCTGCATCCAGTGTTCCGGCGTCCACCGCGAGCTGGGCGTGCGCTTCTCACGCATGCACTCCCTCACCTTGGACCTGCTGGGCCCCTCTGAGTTGTTGGTGAGGGCAAGGGCAGGGCCTGGACTGGTGGGGGCACTAGGAATAGGGTTTGGCCAGAGGGTGGAGCTTGAGTCTGCTGGCTCTGCTAGACCTTGCAGGGTCTGGAGTGGAGAGGGGGGCAGAGCTGGGGTAGGAGCTGGATGACCTGGAAAGGAGATGGCCAAGGACAGGGCTTCGGAGGGCAGCCGAGAGGCAGGACTTCTGGAGGCTTGTCCTACCAGAGGTCTCTGTCCTAACTACCCAGTCTTACCCCACTACTTTCCCACCACAATCCCAGCTGGCCTTGAATATCGGCAACACGCGCTTCAATGAGGTCATGGAGGCCCAGTTACCCTCACACAGTGGCCCTAAACCTTCAGCTGAGAGTGAAATGTAAGAAGATTCTTGGCTAGACGGGTGTTCTGTCTGGGGCCTTCTGTGAGCGGGCACGTCCCAGAAGGATCTTAGGCAAGAGGTGTGGAGGGAGGGGAGGCGCAGACCTGAGAGTCCCCAGGGCATGGTTCTAGGCAATAGGAGACCTGTGTCTCCTGTGGGATGGTCCCAGGGACCAGCTTGCAGGAGACAGTCCTTCCTTTGAGACCTGTGATTGTTTTTGGCAGGAGCCTCCGCAGGGATTACATCGTGGCCAAGTATGTGGAACACAGGTTTGCTCGCCTGTCTACTTTCGAGCCTCAGAGACTTTGGACAGCCATTCACAACCGGGACCTCCTGTCAGTACTGGAAGCCTTTGCTAATGGGCAAGACTTTGGACAGCCACTGCCTGGGCCAGAGGGACAGGTGGGAACCCTTCCAAGGATCACCCACCCACATTCACATACTCCCCAATCATCCAGCACCAGCTATGACTTCTTTCTGCCTCACCCCTGATATGTGCTCAAAACCCAGAGGGGTAAATGGGAAAGACCACCATTTTGGTCAATCCTGGCTTTGCCTTCTAGCTCTGTGATCTAGGAATGGGTTACTTAACTTTTCTGAGTCTTCGTTTCCTCCTCTGTAAAAATGGGTTGATAGCACTCACAGGGTTGAAGTAAGCATTAAGTCAAGTATGTAAAGGGACTGGTGCATAGTAGAAGTATAATAAATGTTGTTGTTGTTATGTGCCGTCAAGTCAGACCTGACTCATAGCGACCCCTCCTTGGGTTTCCGAGGCAGTATCACTACGGAAGTAGGATTGCCCAACCTTCCTTCCGAGGAGTGGCTAGTGGGTTTGAACCGCCAGCCGTCTGGTTAGCAGTCAAGTGCCTTAGCCACTATGCTACCAGATGTTAGTATTTTTTTTTTTCTTGTGTAGCCTTGGAAATGGGTGGTCAGCCAGATTAGAGCCAGGAAGGCCATTGCATTGGCTATTCCAGTAATTGAAACATCAAGTGAGCAAGAGGACACATCCTGGTGAGGGACAGGAAGAAAAGGATACCAGGGACATGTGAAGGACTAAATCAACAGGAGTTGCTGACTAATTAAACCAAAACCCATTGCCATTGAGTCAGTTCTAATTCCTGGTGACCCCATGTGTTACACAGTAGAACTGCTGCTCCATAGGGTTTTCTTAGCTATAATCTTTACTGATCCTTTCTTCCATGGCACTCTTGGGTGCGTTTAAACCACCAACCGTTGGGTTGGTAGCCACACACAAACCATTTGTACCACCTGGGGACCTTGCTGACTGAACATCATAAAAAAAACACTTCCCGTGTGCCAGGCAGCAGGAGGAGACCATGACTGGATTTAACTCTGTTTAGGACATTCTGGTCTTTGAGCTGCCTTCCCAGTGTCTTGGTGGGTCCAGTGAGCAGGGAGGGTATAGCACTTGAATGAGACAAGGATATGGAATGGTCTACACATGAGTGACAGCTGGCAGCATGAGGTTAGATGAGATCTCAGGGGAAATGAGAGCAGAGAGAGGAGCCCAGGGCTAGGAACCAAAATTTGGGAAGCACCTTCTATTGCGGACAAGAAGAGGAAGGCCCTTTACCTTCCTCCCAGAGATGAAGTTCCATCTGTTCAGACTCATTTCTGAGGGAGCTGGAAGCTTCATATCTAGGGGTGTCGGGGGGCAGCAGGAGCTCAAGAGGGTGATACTGGGTTGGGGACAGGTGAGCTAGGGGGAGACTCAGAGGTATTGGACCTGTATTCAGGCACCTGGAGAGCATGCCCTGCACTTGGCTGTCAGAGTCGCCGACCAGGCCTCCCTGCCCCTAGTGGATTTCATCATCCAAAATGGGTGAGAAACCCTGCTTCTCTGCCTACCTCCTTGCACCTTTCCCTCCCCTTCTTTCCCTCTTCTTCTCTCTTCCCTCCTTTCTTCTCCCTCTCCCCACCCCCCACCAAGATTCCTCTGCCTCCCTCCCTGACCACTCCCCAGCGGTCATGTGGATGCCAAGGCCCCTGATGGGAACACCGCTCTGCACTATGCTGCCCTCTACAACCAGCCCGACTGCCTCAAGCTGTTGCTGAAAGGGAGAGCTTCAGTGGGCACAGGTGGGGCTCAGACACCTCCTCCCTCAGACTCCCATTCCTGCCTTTTCCCTAGACACAAAGAGCCCTGGTAACAAGCATGGACTTTACAGACAGACTTGAGTTCTCATCCTGGCTTGCCTTTGGGCAGCTCTGGGCCCTGAGGATTTATCAGTTTATCTCTTGAACCTCAGCTTCTTCATATATAAAAATGGGAATAATATCATCCACTTAGTAGGGCTGGGAGCTCTGGTGGCGTAGTGCCTAAGGCATTTGACTGCTAACCAGAGGGCTGGTAGTTCAAACCCACCAGCCACTCCTCAGAAGGAAGATCGGGCAATCTATTACCATCGAGATACTGCCTTGGAAACCCAAGGAGGGGTTACCATGAGTCAGAACTGGCTCAACGGCAGTGCGTTTGGTTTTGGTTTTTTTGGTAGTGTGCCAGGAGCTTCACACACATAAGCTCATTTAATGCTCACAACAACCTCGTCAGGTAGTTACAAGTGTACTCATTTTGTAGATTAGAAAATTAAGTAACTTGCCCAAGGTCACACGGCCAGGAAGTGGCAGAGCCAGGATTCAAACCCAGACAGTCTGATGCCAGAGCCCTTCTTAACCTCTAAGCTATAATGCCTCTTTTACCCTGACCCCTAACTTTATTCAACACAGTGAATGAGGCAGGAGAGACAGCTCTGGACATGGCCAGGAAGAAGCAGCACAAGGATTGTGAGGAGCTGGTGAGGTCTCAGGGGCGGGGAGGGTGTCCCTGAGTCTTTTTCGCTCCCTGTTGAGCACCCTCTGAACTGCCGAGCTTTTGTTTGTGGCAGCTGGAGCAGGCCCAGGCTGGGACCCTCACTTTCCCTCTGCCCGTGGACTACTCCTGGGGCATTTCCATGGAGCCTGGCTCTGACAGTGAGGAGGACGAGGAGGAAAAGGTGGGTCCTAGACCTTGTCCATGGCCCCTTGGCTGGCTGGACCCCAGGGATGGCATACGGAAGAAGCCACATTGGGCCTGGTATGGGAAAGGGAGGGCCGAATTGGAGGAACCAGGCTCTCCTCCCTCTCACACTTTTGTCCCTGTAGCGCTGTCCTCTGAAGCCCCCAACCCAGGCACGCTGGGGCAGCGGGAGGCTGGACATCAGCAATAAGACCTACGAGACCATTGCCAGCCTGGGATCAGCCACCCCTCGGAGCCAGAGTGAGGATTTCCCCCCACCTCTGCCAGTCAAAAACCCTGCTCGGACCATGGTCCAGGGACGTGTAGGACATGCCAGTGGAGGTATGGTTGGGTGCCCAGAAAAATGTTCATCAGACCATCATTGAGGGCCTGCTGTGTGCTGGGGCACTGAGCTGAGTGTGCTGTGCGTGTGTTAATCCATATCATCCTTGCAGTTACTTGCTAGGTAGGTGTTACTATCCCCCCTTACAGGTAAAGAAACAGAGATGTTAAGTAACATGCCCAAGGTGACACAGCTAACAAATCTCTGATGTGAGATTCAGACCCAGGTCTATCCTATTCAAAATTCTTCAATGCTTCACTTAAATAAAAAGAGAGAAAGAGAAGCATTTATTGAGCATCCATTGTGTCCCAAGTCCTTCAAGGATTAGAGACACAGTTTAATGGGAAAGATGAAAGCTAGAATACCATTCATTTTAATACAAGACTTAAGATGATATGGAATGTAAATCTCAAAAAGACAGGGTCTTCAAGTGTTTTGTTCACTGTTATTTCTCCAGCACCCAGCACAGTGCCTGGCTGTTCTCAAGAACTATGAATGAATGGACAGGCCTGTTCTGGGAGCTCGGGGGAAGGAGGGAGCATGTCCTATTAAGCTGGGGACTGTTTTAGCAATGCTTCCTGGTGAGAATAGCATCTGAGCTCGACCTGAGGGATGGGCAGTAGAGTCCAGACTGAGTAGAGGGTATCAGTAGAACCAGAAAAGTGAGTCAGTGTGGCCCTGGCTGTCATGAATGAATGATCCAGGAGACTGAAGCATGACAGGAAGGAGTTGCTGGAGAATACCGGAATAGTAGATAGAGGGTGGGGAGTGGGAGAGAACCATGATAGGTTCTAAAGGCCAAAGACTGCTTTATCACTTCTAATTCCAGATTGTTCTGAAGCCCCCAGCCTGAGCTTGGAGCCCCCTGGGGTCCCAGAGAGTCTGGGCAGCCCAGCCTCCTCTTCTTCCAGCCTCATAAGCCCTGTGGAACTTGGGAGTCCCAGCCAAGCCCCACTTGGTTCTGAGGAGAGCCTTAGGGAGCCCCCAGGCATCACTCGACCAAGCCTGCCGTCTGGGACCACTCCTGCAGAGATATATCCCCCTGTCAGGTTCAGGTTGGTGAGAGCCCAGCTGTGCAACCTGGGCAAGTCTCCTAACCTCTTTGGGCATCCATTCCCCCACCTCTAAATGGTATGGTACCTGCCTGAATACTGGGATACCGTCCAGCTCTGAGACCCATGACTAATGTAGAGATGCTGGCTCTTGGAGGGTGACTGGACCCCTTCCCCTCCACCATACACATTCACCTGATCCCAAGTCCAACCTACAGAGCGGAGAGGAGCCTGGAGCCCAGGTTGCTGATGTCAGAGTAGAAAAGACTCAGTTCCATGTGTGTGGCTTATTCTAGGGGCTGAGTAGGTTTTCAGTCTGTCCTGCAACCCCAGCCTCAGATCCAGTCCTCTCTCTTCCTTGCACACCCTTTCATTTTGGGGTTTTAGAGAAGCAAACTTAGAGATCTCCCCAGAGTACCTGAGAGGTCAGTTCCAGGCCTCTTGGGCCTGTGATAGAGTCATCCCGGGGGCCTCATGGGCGCTCCACCCATCCACCCTATGCCCCAGCCTTGCTGTATACCTGAGCTCTTTCCTCCCACTCTGTGGAGCTCTTTGGACACAGGGGTCACGTTGGCCTTTTCCTGCCTTCCAGCTCTGAGAGCACTCGCTCCTATCGGCGGGGGGGCCGGAGCCTAGAAGACAGTCCCTCAGCCCGGCAGCCACTGCCCAAAAGGAACGTGCTGGTAGGAGCTCTGGAACTGTGGTTTGAGGGGGAGGTGGCAGGGTGCTGGTGGAGTACCGTTAGTCAAGACTAAGTGTATAAGGGTGGCACTGGGTTAAGAGTGGGTGACTGGGGCACATAGGGGTTCAGATGGCCACAGTTTGACCACGCCCTGTCCTGGTGCTCCTCCTTCCTGCTCCAACCCAGGGCCAGGAAAACCTGAGGCTAGCCCAGGCCTTGAGTGAGGTGGCACAGGTGATGAGTCCCCAGGCTTGGCTCCTTCCCAAGGAGGATGAGCAAAGCTGTGTCTGCCAGGCTGGTTGCTCAGAGAAGGAGTTGCTTCCTAACAGAAGAGGCAGAATTAGGGTAGCTGTGTACCAGCCCTTGGTTTGCTTAACTTGCCCCAGGTACAGGAGTCTCCTGGAATCGGCTGAAACTTCCAGCTCCTAGGCATAGAAGGATGTGACGGGGATAAGGCAAGGTCTGTCATCCTTAATCTGGCTTCTTCCTGCTGAATCACAGTCTTGAACAATTACATACATTTAGTTGAGGAACCTGGGATGGGCATAGGTCAGAGCCAGTTGTGGGAGAAGGAGGCCGCCTCTGTTCTTGTCCCCCATTCCTCAGAGTGGCATTGTTTGACTGTGTTGATAGGGAAGGCAGGGGCTGGACCTGGGTTTGTCGGAGAAAATGTCCTTCTCTGTCCATCAAAGTCAGGCACCAGACATAATTCTATGTCCACCTGCTGGTTCCACTATTGTTTTTATTAGCTGCGATTGAGTGGTATCCGTCACAGAGCATTTAGTTGATGCTGTTGTGGCGGTATGTATGACAGCATGAGCTCAGGCTTTAGAGTCAGGAGGCCTAGGTCAAGTGGCTTCAGCTCTTCCAGCTTTGGCTTCATCATCTGTGAAATGGGGATAATTTAATCCACCCATAATAGGACAGTGATGAAACTGAGTGAGATAAACAGCTGGCACACGATAGGTGCTTGAAATGTCAGTTTTCATCCTTCTCTCCCCAGGTTGGCTTCACTGAAGGAGATGGCTCAAGAACTGGGGCTCTCCCAGCAAGTTCTGTGCAACTTTTGCAAGAGTAGCTCCTTACTGTCTCCTGCGTGCCTGAACCACTCCCTTGCTGGATCCCAACATTCAGAGCCTGGACTTGAGGCTGCAAGACTGTGGAGCTGGGTCTCATTCTCTTGGCCCCTCTGTGACTGGCCCTCCTCCCTCCCATGGCCCATGCCTCTGCCAAGGACACTAGCCCTACCCTGTTAATTCTGATTATGTCTTCCCCATTCATCACAGGCCAGGGAGCCCTGTGGCTGTGTCTAAGTTCACTTCAGCTACAGAAACCAGTGCATCAGACCAGGACTGTTTCTTCCATCAGTCTGGGGTCCACAGGGAAGAGAAGCAGCCCTCCTTTTTCATTCTCCATATCCAGACTAAAGACTTTACCAGACCAGGGACTGTCTGCTCAGCAATGTTTTAGTCCCTTATTTGTTTACTGAGTTCCAGCTCTATGTCCAGGCCTGTACTAGGCACTGCAGATGCAACAGTAAATAAGACAAGGGTCCTACAGATGTGGGTTCTGCAGAGGATGGTTCTGGGCTTAGAGTCAGGCAGACAATGAGCTTGTTTAAACCAATCCCCATGGTAGTTGTCTACAGCCCATATCGATTCTGTTCGGTCCACCACAGCCCATGTTGTTAACTGTTGTTGTCGGTAGCCATCAAGTTAATTCCAACTCATGGCAACCCCATGTGTGCAAAGTAGAATTGCTCCACTGGGTTTTCAAGGTTGTGACCTTTCTGGAGCAGATTGCCAGGCCTGTATTCCCAGGTGCATCTGGGTAGACTCAAACCTCCAACCTCTCAGCTAGTAGTTGATCGCTTACTTGCTTGTGCCACTCAGTTGCCTTACAGCACATGCTGCACTAGCTATTAAATATCCTGAGTATCACTCCTGTTGAGGAATAATAGCCATCGTGGGACTTCTTTGTACTGTATTCCCCAGCTAGGAATTCGGGTAAGACTCACCCCCATTTTCCCACTCCTTGATTCAGTGGGAGAAAAGGGCTGATCTTTTCACTTCTCTTCTCTTCCTTTGGTCAACTCAGGAGCCTTCCAGTCCAGGGGATGGAAAAGCCAAGGAGGGAGAAAGGAGAGTGATAGAAATAGGAGGGCAGAGACTTAAAAGTTCTGCTCCCAGTGCCAGAAATTCCACCATTAGATCCATTGCTTTAGGTTCGTCAGCCTCCTATAAGAAAGCAGATGAACCACTAACACCTCAGCCATGCATCTACGGGTGCTTAGGCCTTGGTAGGTGATGGGCCAGGCCTTCCAAAGAGGCCAGTTGATGCCAATAGCCAACATGGCTGAGCTGTTTCCACAAGAGACCTGTTCCATAGGAACAGACAACCCTTCTGAACCCCCAGTGTCTTGTTTAGTTCATCTTAGACTTGTTATTTTACTCATCTCTAATAATTAATTTTCTTGGGGGTCAAAGTAAAAACCCACTGTCACAGAGTTGATTCCAATAAGGTTGGTTCCTATAAGGTCATAATATACCTTGTAGGACTGAGTAGAATTGCCTCATAGGCTTTCCAAGGCTATAATCTTTACAGAAGCAGACTGCCTCATCTATCTTCCACACAGCACCCAATGGGTTTGAATCGCCATCCTTTCAGGTAGTGGTCGAGCACTTTAACCACTGTGCCACCAAGGCTCCTTTTTCTTGTGGGTGGATGTAAAATCCAGTGCTTTATTTTTGTTGTCTGAAGATCAGTTAGGGAAAAGGGAGGAAATTTTAGGTCTTAGAATTCTGTCTCTGGCCTAACGAATTAGAGCCTTAGGAATCTATATCTCTAGAGCCAGGTGTAGACCAGTTGTTCCCAGCTGGGGACTGTTTTGCCTCAAGGACCAGTTGGCAGCGTTTGGAGACATTTTTGATTGTCATAGCTGAGGAGTGCTCCTGGCATCTATAGAGGCCAAGGATGCTGCTGAACATCGTGCAGTGCACAGGACAGAGCGGTGCAGGCCTATCCAGCCCAACAGTGCCGAGGTTCAGAAACCCCAGTGCAGAGGAGAGTCAAGGCCTGCAGTTCTAGCTCTGCTGTGGTCCCTGTCTCAGTTTGATTTCTGCCGAGACAAGGATTTGGGGCAAGTATTTTGTTTGGGAAGTGATCCCAGGAAGCATTATGAGGGAGTAGGGAACTGTCTTAGTTACATAGTACGGTCATAACAAAAAATACCACAGGTGGCATTAAAGAACAGAAACTTACTGTAGAGGCTAGAGGTCCAAATTAGGACACTGGTTCTTGGGGATTGCCCTTCCTTGTCGGTAGTCCCCAGTGTTGCGTAGTTTGTAGACAATTCCTTATATGGTCTCATCCCTCCTGTGTGTGTGTCTCTCCTTGTCTCCCTTTATAGAAAACACCACACAGAGTGATTAGGTTCAGGAGCTGCCCTACTCTGGTAATGACCTCATTAACGTAACAAAAGAAAAACCCTGGTTTCCAAACAGGGTCATATATACAGTGAGCTAGTTAGGATTTCAGCATAACTTCCTGCAGGATACAATTCAAACTGTAACAGAAAACAAAACAGAGAAGATCAAAAGCAGTGGAGGATGTGTTGATGAGGGAGTTATCACTGAGGGCACCTAAAGATTAATTTTGTTGGGGACCCGTTACATGACTGTCTTGATTAGACTTTAAGTTGTGAAGTAACTGGGTATTTACCACCACCTCTGAACATTGGTTAGGGGTCAGTGATAGTTTTCTGTGTTATCTTGGCGGTGTTGTGTGTCATTGAGTCGATTGTGACTCATAGCAACCCTATAGCGCAGAGTAGAATTGCCCCATATGATTTAATCTTTACAGGAGCAGATCACTAGGTCTTTCTCCTGCAGAGTCACTGAGTGGGTTTGAACCACTGACCTTTCAGTTAACAGCTGAACACTTAACCATTTGTACCACCAGGGTTCCTTGGCTAAACTATGTTGTTGTTGTTGTTATTATGTGCCGTCAAGTCGGCCCCGACTCATAGCAACCCCTCCTTGGGTTTCCGAGGCAGTATCACTACGGAAGTAGGATTGCCCAACCTTCCTTCTGAGGAGTGGCTGGTGGGTTTGAACCGCCAGCCGTCTGGTTAGCAGGCAAGTGTCTTAGCCACTATGCTACCAGAGCTCCCTATACTATAGTACCCAGTTATTTAATCACACATTAAGTGTTGGTGTAAAGATACTTTGTAGATGTGATTAACTTCTACAGTTAGTTGACTTTAAGTAAAAAAGATTACCCTAAATAATGTGAGAAGGTCTCAGCCAATCACTTGAAGACCTTAAGAACAAAAACTGAGGTTTCCCACAAAAGAAATTCTGCCTCAAAATTGCAGCATCAACTCCTGCTTGAGTTTCCACCTGGCTGGCCTGTTCTACAGATATCAGACTTGCAGTTCCTACAATTGCATGAGCCAATTATACTTGAAATAAATCTCTTTGTATCTCCTGTTGGTTCTGTTTCTCTGACTAATGTAGGGTCCTTACTGCAGCATTATTTCCTAAGCACTCTCAGCCTACCTTAAACCCCTCAGAGAGATGGGAAGCTGTTTTAGGTATGTCCAGAAATTATCTGCAGGTGACCTCCAGGATGGGTAGGTAGGCAGAGGGGATGTGGTGGGTACTGTATGGTCAAGCAGAACAACCCTAAGCAGCCCATCACCTTCTGTGAACAGCATCCTCTCTTTACAGTGAAGAGGTTAGACTTGTGTTTTTTGGGATCCTTTGAGCTATGATGATATTGGAGCCTTGGTGTCTTTTGATGTCACCCAGCTCAGGGAGGAGATTAGGCAGAGGTTTTAGGTCAGTCACATCTGTTTCTTTTAAAAAGGCAATCCTAAGTAAGCATGGGCACCTCTGCCTTTCTTTTGTCCCTTCAACTTAGCAGGGCTTGGCTGGTGGCTGGTCAAGAGACGTCCCGAAGCCTCAAACCATTAAAGACTAACCTCGAACTCCAGAGTCTAAATCTAAATGTGATATACAGTCCTGTTTGTGATTAGGCCCCGGCTACCTCTTAGCCTTTTTGTCTGTTCCAGCACTCCCCTACCTGTGCTGCATCCATATTGATCTTCTGGTTCCTGGAACAGCAGCACACCAAGTACACACCCAGAGCTCTGCACATCTGGAACCTCAGCAGGGCTGTTTTGCTCCTCACTGGGTGCCTAGGGCTAGAACTTCCTGGCATATGATAGTTGGTCATTAAATATTTGATGAATGAATGAATGTTTCCTCCTCTCTCACTCTGAACATACCTGCAACTCTCACTCCACACTTTAGTGCAAAGTTTAAACTTCATTTCTTTGGAGGAGATGACTCCCCAAGTTGCTGTTAAGTTCCCTTGAACACATGTGCCCTTAGAATGAATATGCCCTTAACATATCCTTGACCTCTCTCCAACTGTGACAAATAGAGCAGGTGACCATGTCTACCATATTTAAGGTTGCTCTTGCCCATGAACTCAGGTGCATGGGTGCCCTTTATTCATTCAAGGTCAGAGTCCGGTGCTGAGTCTGTCTTGTTTATTGCTCGGGCACTCAATATTTGTTAATTGCATGAAAAACCTCACCCCTTCCTATGTTGATCAGGTCACACAGCAGCAGTCAGAAGCCTGAACAAATCCACACCAGGCTGGGATGGGGGTTTTTCTGAGAATGAGGTCTCAGGAAAATCTGGAGACTTCACTGGATAGCCCAAACCACAGTTCTGTCACCAGTCACAATGAGCCACTTTTTCTAACCTCCAGGTCCCTAAGAGGCCTGGGTGGCACACTTGACTATTAGCCAAAAGATTGGTGGTTTGAATTCACCCAGAAGTGCCTCAGAAGACAGGCCTGGCAGTCTGCTTCCTGACGATCACAGCCTTAAAAACCCTATGGAGAAGTTCTCTATACATGTGGGGTCACCATGATTCAGAATCCACTCCTCAAAACCTAACAACCACCAGGTCCTTAAGCTTCTGCTCCACTGCACCCCACCCCTTTCAAAGAAAGATAGTTTTCTGTAAGTTAAACTCAGTTGTGTAAGGAGAGACCCCAGCCTGTGAAGGACGCTTGGAAGATCACCTCTTCAAGAGTAGGAGAGGGTTGTGCACTGCTACAAACTGACCCACTGCCATGGAGTCACTTCTTACAGAACCCCTGTAAGGTTTCCAAGGTGTACAGCTATGGTGGTGGTGGTGGTGGTGGTGGTTATGTGCTGTCAAGTCGGACCCGGCTCATAGCGACCCCTCCTTGGGTTTCTGAGGCAGTATCACTATTGAAGTAGATTGCCCCATCTTCCTTCCGAGGAGTGGCTGGTGGGTTTGAACCGCCAGCCTTCTGGTTAGCAGTCAAATGCCTTAGGCTCTAAGCTACCACAGGTATGGTAGGGGGGCACAGTTACGTGTTCCATCCTTGCCCAAGATGACACACACCCAATCCCACTGGGGAGACTGTGGCCTGACCCTGAATTAATGAAGTGCACCCATTCCCTGGATCAGTATTTCTCAACGATTCTTAAGTATCTCCTAAGCTCTGGATACTCAGCATATACAGTCTTCCCACCTGTCCCACTGCAGCACTTTGACTTGTTAGAAGTGTAAGACCTCATCTAACAACATAGAACAAAACCCGCTGCCATCCAGCAGATTCTGACTGGCAGCAATCCCGGTTGGGTTTCCAGGCTGTAAATCTTCATGGAAGTAGATTGCCTCATCGTCCTGCTGAGCAGCTGGTGGATTTGAACTGCCAACTTTCTGTTGAGCAGCCAAATGCCTTACCCACTACACCACCAGAGCGCCTTTAACAAAATAGATGGCGTGCAAATTGTGGGCACTTTGGGATCTATAAACGGAAAGAGCCTGGATAAACACGTGTGCACAAATGAGTGAACGCTGATGAGTTAGATGTAACGGTCGGTCGTGTGATTTGAGCGCATCGGGTTGCCTCCACTTGGGGACATGGGCACCGAGCTACAAAAGTGCAGAGACGAGGGAGTCCAGAACTTTTCTTAGAGCTCTGGGGGTACCCTCAGGCTCCCTCTGCGCCCCGACCGACCGAGTCTTGTGTCGCGGGACGACAGGCTCAGGCTCGCCCGAGACCCCTCCTCTCCAACGTCCCGTCAGCCCGCGGCCTCCCAGGAGGGGCCGGAGGTGAAGGGCTCTTTCTGGCAGCCTCGTCCCTCCCCTGAGGCCCGGCAGGCTAGCGCGGGCAATCTTTGCCCGGGCGAGTCCTTGAAGTCTATATTTAGAGCACGCCACCCCTCCCCTCCCCCTTGTTCCAAGGAGGCCCGGCCGGGGGTGTGCGGGTGGGGGGAGAGCCCCGCCCCCACCAGGCGAGTGTGTCGCGTCGTGTGTGTTTGGGACCAGCGCAGGTTGCGCGTCCTCCAATTTTGCGCCTTTGGCCCCCGAGTCCAGACAACTGCCCCTGCGCCCCTCGCCCCGCAGGGCGTCGCAGGCCACCATGGGCCAGGAAGAGGAGCTGCTGAAGATCGCCAAAAAGCTGGAGAAGATGGTGGCCAGGAAGCACACGGTGAGGTTGCTGAGTTTGGGCTACAGCCCCCGCCCCTGGGAGGCGCGGCGCGGGCGAGCCCGCGAGTCCCGGGGGCGCGTGCTGGCGGGGCGCCCGGGAGGCGCGTGTGGGACTCGGGACCCGAAGGAGGCGCGGCTTGCACAGGGCTCAGTGTCTCTTGGGGACTGCTGGGCTTTTCGCGGTGGGCGTGTGTGTGGCCCAGGGCTCCAGGGGTGTCGTGTGTGGGCCTGGAAGGAGAGGCTTTGCAAGTCTTGTAGACATGTAGGGTTCAAGAGGCCTCTGGGTAGCTTGGACAGAGCCCGGGAAAGTGAGCAACGAGACTTGGACTGGAAAAAGACTTTCAGAGTCTTGGGACGCACGGCGTGTGCAAAGTTTAGGGAACGGGGCAGGGAGGGGAGGGGAGGGGAGGGGAGGCGGGTGCAGAGGGCTCAGAATTCTGGAGGACTTGAGAAGGGGCAAAGGAACTGGAGCTTGTAAGAATTGCTGGGCAGCGTTTTCCCCGTACCTCAAAAGTGGATCTGGAGAAGAGGAGCGAAGGACTGAGTGGGGCGCCGGGAGTGGGTCTGGTTGCAACTTTCCCTTTGCTTGGCCGCAGGGGAGGGGCTGAGCGTCGGGGGCGAACAGGTGCGGGGCGGCTGCCACGCGCTGATGGCCCTCAGGGGGGCGGGGACGGCTGAGCTGAAGGCCTGGGCCGCGAGGCGGGGGCCAGAAGAGGACGGGTGGAGGAGGGGGGGTGGGCTGCTTTAGGGTTTCTGGACCCCAGTCCGTTGCCAGGCGTGCAGGCCTGGCTTGAAGTTAATGTTTGATTTCCCCGTGATCTTTGTCTCTGGTTGGTGGCAGCCTGGTCTCCTGGCCAGAGCAAACTTATCCTTGTGCTGAACAGGATCTGGGCTCATGCAGAGGAAAAAAGAGAAGGGAAGGGAGCCTGGGGCATCACGGGGGGAGGGGCAGCCTCACTCTGTCTTGGGGCCCTTCTCCCACCACCCAAAGCCATGTGCAGGAGCAGGGCTTGCACCTCCAGCACATTCTGCCACCCTAGGAGTCTAGGGAAGAGGTGAGCCCCAAGGGAAGTTATAGAGCCTTGAAAAGGAAAGAGGTGCTGCAGAGGCATATCTAGGTATGGCAGGTATGGCAAGTGCCCTGGGCACCACTGAGCAATTTCTATTAACCATCACAGTTTCCATAGCCAATTGTGAGAAGTAAGTCACCCCATTCCTCCAAAATTAGTGAAACAGAGCCTTAAGTCAACTGGGTCACTTCTCCAGGTACCAGCAGTGGAGCCCAGCCCAACTCTTTTGAGCTGAATTCCATGTCAAGTAGGCAGGTTACTCCGGCCCTTTCCCTTGTTCACCCCAGGCTTGGTCCAGAAAAGAGCCTCTGGGCCTCTGGGTGAAGTGCAAGGGGTGAAGTGAGGTAGGGAGGGGTGGGGACGCTTGGGAGACTGGGGTAAGGCTGCTTGGGGGGAGTGGTGAAGTGGAGCTCTGGCTGAAAAGGAGGAGACCTCTCTCCTTTACTCGTCTCATGGTCCTAGGTGAGCTACTCTCTTTTCCTCTCTGGGCCTCAGTTTCTTCTTTGAAGTGGGAAGAGGAAATGGTATCCCTTGGGGATGTGTCTCTGTGGAAGTGCCCAGAGCTGTCTCCAGGGAAATGCAAATCTTGCCACCGGGCTCCTGTAGCACTGAGCCAGTCTGTAGCCACGTCTGTGCCTGGGCTATTGGCAGCATCTGGGTGGGCACAGAGCTCTAGGCATCTGGCCGAGAAAGGTGGGGCCTGCTCTGGGAGTGAAAGTGGGCCCACCCATTGGTGGTTAGGGAGAGGAGGACACACTTCCTGTAATGAGACGGATCCTCCACGTTGCAGCTCAGGCCCGGGGTTTGCTGCCAATTGCTGAAGTCCCAGGGACTTAGGGTTTTTGTTGCATTCTGTGAGTGTACACTGGCTGAAACTGCTCCAAACGTGTTGCTGTATGCCAACAGTCACAGCTACATATGCACATAGTTACATGTCAACAGACACAGCTGCACACATGCAGCCACACACCACAATAGCTAAACAAGAAAGTATAAACATACCTGCATCCAACCTGTGGTTGCTGGCACTGACATGACAGACACACTTAACCTTGCAGATACCATTATATTTACAAAAAGATACACAAAGACAACTATACACATACCCAATATATAGCTATGCCCAGACATACGTAACTAACAGACTTAGCAAACAGCCACACCTACACATACAGGCATCACCCCAAAAGACAAATAGACTCAATCGTGCCTCAAACTGCAAACACACGGCTCCACACATGGACCACAGACATCCCCGGGTGCACATCCCATATGGACTGCAGGGACGCACACCCAGCAACCCTTGCATAAGGCTTTGTGAACCCAGCTACAACCGGTTGTTGTTGTTGTTAGGTGCCATCAAGTCGGCTTCCATTCACAGCTACCATATGTACAACAGAATGAAACCCTGCCTGGCCCTGCGCCAGCCTCACAATCCTTGCTATACTTGAGTCATTGTTGCAGCCACTGTGTCAATTCATCTTGTTGAGGGTCTTCCCCTTTTATTCTTCTCCACCATGACCCAGTTATACAGCTGTGACCCACAGAGGCGCACACCCACTGGGGAGCTAGAGCTTATGACAGCTGATTGTTGAAATCTTCAGGGATTTTACAGGTCAGTTGTTAAACACAGCCATTATTTTTTCAGGATTTAAAGTATATGCTTGCTTACAATTAAATAAATGATATTAAGAACAAAGATAAAAAATACTATAAAATCATCACGTCCTAACTTGCTACATTTTACTATTATCTCTGGTCTAGAGGTTATTTACTTCTGTTGTATCTCTAAGGTAGAAATACTATATAATGGGGTGCTATTGCACATCTCTTCCCAGTATTTCCTTCAGTACAGTGACATCGTGTTAGGAGCCTGAAACTGGCTGTGGGAGGAGTATTTACACTGCCGAAACTGGCAAATATTACCAATTAGATGTTTGTTTGTTTCTTAGAGAAATGTTTGCTAACGTGGACCTGCACACCATGGCACTTACCCACACTGAGATTCCACAATTGTACACATGCACACAGAGCTATATCCACACCTACACAGTTTGCATAGTGGGTAGAGCCCAAAAGACCTGAATTTGAATGCCAGCTCAGCTCTTTACAAGCTATATAACCTTAGACAAATTATTTAATCTTTCTGTCTTTTTGGATTCCTGGTCTGTGAAAATGGATAATACTTCTGTAAAATTAGGGATAGTAATAGTACACACCTCATAGGGCTGTTGTGAGATTAAATGAGATAATGCATGTAAAAGATTTAGAACAATGCTGTGCACATAGTAGGCTCATAATGTTACATACTGTTCTGGTTACCTAGTACTGCTCTGACAAGAATATACCACAAATGGGATGGCTGAACAAACAGGAGTTCATTCTCTTACAGTTTGGCGGCATTAAGTCCACGTTCAAAGTCCTAGGCTCTAGGGGCTGGGTGAAAGCCCCTCAACCTTAGGCTTCAGCTCTGCCTCCTGCTCCCAGTCCACTGGAGCTAGGGGCTTTTCTTCACTCAGACAACTACTGGCTCCTGAGACTGACAAGCCCAAGGTTGACAAGCAAAAAAGCACAGTCCTGATGTTACCAAACCACAAGACAGGCCATTAATCCAAGTCTATTGAAAGTCCCAAGGTTGGCAGAGCATGGCAGGCTGCTGAACAATGACATGGCTACATGCAGGGTTCGAGCATGCCATAAGCTAGAGACCATTCCCAAAGCTGTTTCTTATATACAGGAAGCAGACCACATCCCTAAAGCAGCTACTCAGCTGCTTGTGGTAGGTCCTACCATGGAGTTGATTGCTAGTCTGTCTCATCATGGGGAATAACTACCACCAGCTGCCTAGCCACTCAACCAGGCCCAACCAAATTGACACACCAACTTAACTACCACACATGCAGAGGTGTATGTTCATAGATTTACATGTACACATATATCCACAAGATACACCACTGAAAAAACTCCTGTGAAGCTAGGTTCTAGAGGAGGCTGGGGACTGATGGAGGGCAGCTCTTGGATCATGGTCCAGGAGCTTGAAAGGGTGGGGGTTGGCAGCTGGAACTGGGCGGATGGGGGACAGGGAAGGGCATACAGGACACAGTCAGCTGGGGCTCCCCAGGGAACCAATCAGGACAAAAGTCTCAGGTGGCTACTAGGAAGGGGCTGGGAGGATAGAGGCTGAAATGGATCAGAGGTTTTTGGGACCTGGTAGTAGGTTTGTGCTTCTGAGCCTCCTTTTGTCCCCTCCCGCTCTTCTCTCCCACTTTCTACTGCCGACTTCATTCATTCATTCACTCACTCATTCATTCACTCAGGGAGACCTGGACTCTATGCTGAGCCCTAAAGTCTGAGAGACAAAGCAGTTGTCTTTATCCAAGAGAAATGAAAGTATATGTCTGTGCAAAGACTTGTACATGTATGTTCATAACAGCTCTATTTGTAATAGCCCCAAACTAATAACTACCTCAAAGTCTCATTAACAGGCAAATGGATAAACAAATTGTGGTGTATCCCTACAATGGAAAATTATTCTGCAATAAAAAGGAAATATTGATTTACCCAGCAGCATGGATGAATCTCGAAAAAATTATATGACAATACTGAGTGGGAGAATCCAGACCAAAAAAGTCCATACAGTACCCTTTAAAATACAAGCTCATCTATAATGACAGAAAGGAGCTCTGGTGGTATAGTGCCTAAGGCACTGGACTGCTAACCAGAAGCCTGGTGGTTCAAACCCACCAGCCACTCCTCGGAAGGAAGGCTGGGCAATCTACTTCCGTAGAGGTACCGCCTCAGAAACCCAAGGAGGGGTCGCTATGAGTCGGGACCGACTCAACAGCAGTGAGTTTGGTTTTCTTTATAGTGACAGAGAGCAGATTAACGGTTGCCTGGGCCCAGGATTGGGGGTAAAAGGAAGGATAAATTACAACAGGGCATGAGGCAACTATTGTGAATGATGGATAAGTCCGTGTCTTGATTGTGGTGAGGGTTTCACAGGTGGATATGTACGTCAGAATGAAACTGCTGTATGTACAATTTATTGTATGTGTGTTATGTGCCAATTATACCTTGTTTGTGTATTGTACCTTGATAAAGGTATTGGGAGAAAAGAAAAAAGAAAAAGAGCCCACAGTTCTCACCCTGCAGAAGCTCACAGTTGGGAAGGAGGGGAAGTAGGATACAGAGACACAAGCACCAATAATAAGCCATGACATGATTAACTTGGGAGGGAAAGATGGGGCCCGGGAGAGCGTGCCTGCTAAAAGGAACAGCAGAAACAAGACTGAGGTCAGAATGAGCAGTTAGGCTGCGCTTTGGCTCAGAGGGGATTGAACCCAGATGAGTGGTGGGAAGTGAGGTTAGAGAGCTGGTCTGGTCCAGAATTTCCCTTCTTTTTTCTCCATTCCTCCCCTTGCCTGTCCTTCCACCCCTTGTCTGTCTGTATCCTATAACTAGAATGGTTTCCTCCCATCCTCTCACCTCCCTTTCTCCCACCAAGACCACACAGTGGTCAGAGGCCTGGAACCCAGTGCACAGCCCATGGGCCTCAGTTCTCACCTTGTGGCCTCCCACAGGAAGGGGCCCTTGACCTTCTGAAGAAGCTGAACAGCTGTCAGATGTCCATCCAGCTACTACAGGTGGAGTGGGGGTGGATAGCCATGGGGCAGTGCCCTGCTGGGGAGAGACCCTGGTGGGGGGAAACCGTGGGGGGGGGGCAGCTGTATGAGAAATTTCTCAAGGGTGGGTCTGGGGGAAGGGAAGTCTTTGATGCACACCTCTGAGGGAGACACTAAGGCATCTAGTGGGGGCCAGGGTGCTTTCCAAGCACAGCAGATCCTCTGGGTCTGGTTTGCTTTCCTTGAACACCCCATTTCTCAGGGCCTGAGGCCTGTGGGAGCTAAGAGACCAATGATTCAAGGAGAGGGAAAAAAACCCACCCCAATTTTTAGGTCTTCCCTGTGTTGACCAAGTAGCTCCCAAACTTTACCAGAAACCTTCTGGCCCTTAAATATCAATACACACCCCAGCTGTGGTAGCCAGAGCTTTGTCTAAGTTGGAATTTGGGCTCAAAGACGCTAGGGGGCAGGAAAGGAAGGGGTCCTGATCATCAGCCAAAGCCTCTCTTCTCAGCTTTCCACCAAAGCCCTGGGTTATCTATCCTCAGTGTAGGGCATAGGATCAGGGTTATTGCCTTAGCCATGAGCCAGAGCTGGGGCCCTGGGGGTGGTTGACCCAGGGCATCCTGTGTGTCCATCCCCGGAACAGCCCCTGCACCTCTCGCTTTGCAGACAACCAGGATTGGAGTCGCCGTGAACGGAGTCCGCAAGCACTGCTCAGACAAGGAGGTGGTGTCCTTAGCCAAAGTCCTCATCAAAAACTGGAAGCGGCTGCTAGGTGAGAGGGGCCAGGACAACCGGGGTCCATGTTTGTCTTCCTCCGTATCCCCAGCACCTGGAACAGTGATTGGCTCATAGCAGCCAGCACTCAGTGTTTGTTTGTTGAATGACTTAATAAGTACAGGGGAACTCTGGACCAGCTCAGGGAGTTAGCTAGTGGGGAGTGCCAGTGTGTCTGTGTATACAAATGCAGGCATTTGTGGATGTGTGAGTTTTTGTGTATTTGTGCATGTGTATGTATTTATGTGCTTGTGTTTGTATATATATAGTACATGTATGCTTGTGTTTGTATATATAGTACATGTATATATGTGTATATACAGAGAGTCCCTAGGTGGCTCAAACAATTAAATGCTCGGCTGCTAACCAAAAGGTTCCAAGTTCAAGTTCACCCAGAGGTGGCAAACTACTTCTGAAAACTCAGCCACTGAAAATCCTGTGGAGCATAGTTCTACTCTGACATACACGGGGTTGCCATGAGCCAGGTATATTCAGCAAACAGGTTTTTATGTGTATACACATTTGTATGAATATATGCACAGGTGTGTATGTAAATGTAGTAATAGCCCCGTATGTGACTATGTAGTTGTACACATATATGCATGTTGAATATGTGTATGTGTAAATGTATGTGTGTGTGTGTGTGTGTGTATTGGGGGGCTATGCAGCTGTCCCAGTCCCTGCCCTTTGCTCCTTCCTCCCCAGTCAACACTGGGTTCAGCTGAGGTGGGGCTGCGTTGAGGGACAACACTACCCTTTCGTTTTCAGACTCCCCTGGACTCCCCAAACGAGAAAAAGGAGAGGAAAGAGAAAAAGCAAAGAAAAATGAAAAAGGACTTGATTGTTCAGATTGGAAGCCAGAGACAGGCCTTTCTCCACCAAGGAAAAAGCAAGGGGAAGAGCCCAAAGACAGGTATTTTTTCTGAGGTGGGGAGAAGGGAGCTGACTCTTGTCACATCCTCTGCCAGCAGCTCTGTTTCTATGGTTGCATTTAATCCTCACAACCCCATCAGGTGGTTATTGTTACTGTCTCCCTCTGGGGGTCTTTTGCTCAACCAAACAGTTAGACCCACAAAACCCAAATGTGCCAAACTTGGCACTAGCTTTGCCTAGAAGGATGCAGGGACAGAACTAAAGAATGCCAGCAGGGTAGCCTCACAAGTGGTCATAGAAGACCGCATATAGTCTCTGCACACACACCCCCAGGTGACAGCCCAGGTGTGAGGAAATGAGGCCACAACGAGTGGGAACCCCCTGACTTAGAAGCCCCCTGTCCCACAGACAAAGCCTCCAGGATCCTGGCAAGGGCTGTGCCCAGCTACAAGATTCACTAACTTCAGGGCAGCTAAAAGGTTCAATTTTCCACTAATTATTTCTAGTTCATTCACAGCCCTTCCTGTCTAGACAGAATTTACCAGTCAGTGGTCATTTTCACTATAAGCAGTGTTGCCTGGTGACACAGTTGACATTCCACCTTTATCAGGTTTCCAGGGTCAGTGAGACTAGGAACTTATTTGTCCATAAATGAGGAAAGTATTTTCTTAACTCTTTACTCAACGTTCCCATTTAATGATAAGCTGAAGGTTAGGGGAGCAGAGAATTTCCTAAGATCGCACAGCTATTGTGTGATGGAATGGGATTCAAATCTCTGTCAGATTCCAGACCTCTGCCAAGAGGAGTAGAGCTGTCTGTCTCAACTCTGTGCCTGTTCCCCCTTGCTCACTTCAGTCAAGGTGCTCCCCAAACTTGCGTGATTTTCAGATAGGCCCTAAATGCCCTATCTATCACAGCAGATAAAAACCTTCATGGATATATGGGTAAGTCCTATCCTTTATGTAAGGAGCTCTGGTGGTGTAGTGCCTGAGGCATTTGACTGCTAACCAGAGGTTGGCAGTTCAAACCCACCAGCCACTCCGTTCAAGGAAGACTGGGCAATCTACTTCTGTAAAGATTTATCACCTCGGAAACCCAGTGGGGGTTGCTATGAGTCAAAATCGACTTGATGGCAGTGGGTTTGGTTTTTGGTTTGGTTTATTCTTTATGTAGAAGACAGGCCTGAGATCTACTTCGGAAAACCAGCCACTGAAAACCCCATGGAGCACTGTTCTACTCTGACACACGCAGGATCACCATGAGTCGGAATCTACTCACTCACAAGTGGTTTGGTTTGGTTTTTCATTCCCTAAGTGACTAGACGGGTCACTTAACTTCTTGGGGGTCCATTTCTGGAACTTTGATCTTCCACCTTTTTTATTTGTTTTTAAACAAATCCTATGTCAACAAAGAATAGGGAGGCAATGGGGGTTCATTGGTAGAATTCTCAGCTTCCATGAGGGAGGTGCAAGTGCAATTCCCGGCCACTGCATCTCATGCGCAGCCATCACCTGTCTGACAATGGAGGTGTGCGTGTTGCTATGATGCTAAACAGGTTTCAGTGGAGCTTCCAGATTAAGAAAGACTAGGAAGAAGGGCCTGGTGAGCTACTTCTGAAAATCAACCAATGAAATGATTACAACAGTTGATCTGCAACCAATCATAGGGATAGCGCAGGCATGAATTGGGGCCAACTTGACAGCCAGCTAGCAACAACATAGAAACAAATGTTTGAGAGATGGTAATCAACCATGAGGGAAATAGACCTCTAGCACCCCACTCTCATTTTTAGTTGTCAAAATAACTGTGGGGGCAAGGATGCTAAATATTCTGCAGTACACAGAGTAGTCTCACACACTGAAGAAATATTTACTGTGTCCAAAATGCCATTAGTACCCCCACTGAGAAGCATCTCAGCATAGAAGAATATTTAATGGCCTGGGGAAATGTTCACTAAATAGTAAGAGAAGCTGGGTACAGTATAATCTATATAGTATGATCCTGTCTTTATAAAAATTAAATAAATTGATGTATCATCTACCTATATATGTATATATATAAAAGAAAAGACTAAAAGAATATACACCACAACATTAAGAATGATTATTTCTGGAGGAGAAGATTGAGAGAAGTTTTCATTGTTGTTGTTGTTGTTGTAATTCTTCCTTTTGCTAATGTCTGTCTTTCTAAAAATTTTCCAATGCATATGTACTAATTTTGAAATAAGAAAAAAATGCAACTTTTTAAAAAAGGTATCTGTGGGAGTGGAATTAAAAGGATTTTTACATTCTGTATAATACAATATAAGAATCTGTATTGATGGGGCTTTGTTTCACATTGATTCTGTATTACTTAAAATCAGAATAAATAATATAGCATTTTGAAAAAATAAACAACAGTGATATAAACCCATTGTAGAAATAATGGAAGATATAGGAAAAAAAATCACCCACATTCCCACCACCTAAAGACAAATCACTCTTAGTATTTTTGTATGGTTTTCCTTTCTTTTCTCTCTTTAACTTATTTTCTACAATTATTACTAATTTTATCATCTGCTTTTTAAAATGAAACATTGTAAATGCCAGGCACTTATAATACTTGCCAAATGGTTCTGTAACTTTTTTTTTTTTTTTAAAGTTTTATTACTTTCATTTTGCAGTTGTATCCCACTTGGAGAAAACCTAGTTGGCATTTAACTTTTGAAGTGTGTGCGTTTTGTTGTGTCAAAGGGATTAGAAGTTCAGCTAGCAGGGCTTAGACCTGTTTGAGGTATCTAGCACAGAGTGAACGTCTACTTGATATTGCTCGACCACTGTGGACCACAATTCATGTTCTGGGTGGTGTGGCCAAGTTTGAAGCACCCAGTTCAGTTCTGAGCACCTTGGACCAGAATAGGAAGGCGTCTTGGGAGATATAAGTGAAAGACCAGAGGCTGAACTACTGGGAGAGGAGACCAAATGGGATATGGGACTATTCTGTAGAACAGAAAGTATAGACCTCCAGGTAAAGATGACAGCCTGAACACATGTGTTTGTTTCCCTTTGCTCCATCCCCAAAGCCCACTAAATGATCAGTCTAGAGATTTCTTTAAAAATCCTACAAGAGTAAGTGTGGGAGAGGAGACAGCAGGAAAGATATCTGGAAGGCAGAATGCTAAGTTCTGGACTGAACTTGATTATTTATTCACCTCCTTAGTCTCTGAGACTCAGTATTGTGGTCTGAAAAATGGACATTATTCTTTCTCCTTGAAAATTTAAATATTTTATTTATAGTATATTATTAATTATAGTTATTGTTTTAATTTAACTATTTTGTATTATATTTATTTAATTATACTTAATTGCATGCTCATTATGGAAAATTTTAAAAATACAAATAGGAAAAATAAGAAGTCACCTATTATCTAGAGATAAACACTCCTGATTTTATACACATATACGTTCTTCTAGACTTGTTTCCATACATTGCTACTGATGAAATATGTTTTTTAAAAATATAAGTATATTCTCTTTACTATTTTATAAACTTTTTCACAAACATGTATTTATTTCAACATTAATAAATCGTGATTAGTGTAAAAAAAATTAAATCAAACACAAGAAAACAAATACCTACTCTTAGAACTCTCTATCTTTTAAGAACATAAACATGTACATTTATATTTTGTAAATAAAATTGGAAGCATGCTGGACCTACTGTTTTTAACCAGCATTTTAGATTTTACAACATCTTGGAACATTTCCCTGGGATATTGAATTGAAGTGTAACTGAGCACAGCAAGGTAGTCTTTCCCCAGCCTGCTGGGAGAAGTGTGTTTGGCAGGGGTCCTACTCCAGCTCAATTGGTGAGCTTTCTTTTTCATTTTCTTACTGATAACTTATTCTCATGATTTATTATATAAACCCCTCCCCCCACCATCCACTCCTTGGAAGGAAGATGGTGCAATCTACTTCCGTAGTGATACTGCCTTGGAATCCCAAGGAGGGGTCGCTTTGAGTCGGCTCTGACTCGACAGCACATAACAACAACAACAACAACATAACTACATTAAGGTGCTCTGGTGGTACACTGTCTGAGGCATTCAACTGCTAGCCAAAAGGTCGGCAGTTCAAACACCAGCCACTTTGTGGGAGAAAAATGAGACAATCTGCTTCTGTAAAGATTACAACCATGCAAACCCTATGGAACAGTTCTGCTCTGTCCTATAAGGTGGCTAGGAGTCAGAATCAACTTGATGGCAGCGGATTTATAGCTACATTAATGAAACTTAAAATGAGAGTAAGAAACAGTTGTTCCACACATAAAACAGCTTTTATTGTTTCCTCCTTCCTCCCAGACCTGGTCTATTTTGCAAACGTAATTTCTTCATTTCTGTAGGCAGTGTATGAACTACTTTGTCTGCCATTAATTTACCTTCATAATGTATTGAGCATTTTTTTTTTTTCATGTTCCTGAACAGCTTTCATAACGGTCATTTGCTATTGCTACAAAATATTTCTGGCTTGTTCTGAAATGAAAGGCATTGAAGAAGGTCCAGAAAGTGATGGGTTTCTGGGGCAGGGGTTTGTGTCTTCCCTCCTCATTCGCGCTGCAGGAATTCTGGCTGCTCTGGATGGTACCTGTCCATTCCCAAGGGGCACTTCCTCCAGAAGCACCCTGCAGAGGAACGAACTCCCAGGGCCAGTGTGGGAGTGGAGAGGCATGCGGATAAGGGTCTGCCTTTACCCTCTCTCTACTCTTTACCCTCGGCTGCCTGCTTCCTGGGTTCAAGCTCGGCTGCAGGGTTGGAGCTGAGAGGGAAGCAGTCTATAAAACAAGCAGGGCTAGCCCTGAGACCACCTCACCTGCAGTCTCCCAGACCCCCGGGAGGATGAGTTGGGAGTGAGAAATCCGGGGAAGGGCATGCACAGCCTGGAAAGCGAGATCATCTTGGGTCATCAGTTGCCTGGGAGGACTTACGTATGTTGGGAGCTGTTCTAGACACATGGATGATCTAACGTCGTCTTCACAGCCAGCCCCAAGACATAGGTCCTCTCCTCCTCATCTGACATCTGAGGGAACTGATGCTTAGAGAGGATGATCTGCCCGAGGGAGGGCTGGGATGACAACTCAGATCATTGCCTCCTTTTTTAAAGATAAATATTATATCTGTTATAAATTAAATATGCATGTAGAAAAAAGCCTGGAAGGAAAAACACCAAACTTCCCACTTTTGTGCTTTTTACATTTCTGTACTGTTTGAGTTCGCAGATATGTACAGAACTCTCTTCTGTTCTATGCACTTGGGATAAATTAATGAATACATTAGATTGGGTCTTCCAGAAGCAGACTCTGAGACATGCTTATTTAAGAGGTGATTTCAGGAAACACAGATAGAGGAGTGGGGAAGTGATATGGGGAAGGGAAGGAAGTCAGTACAGGGTGTAGTTATTGTCTGATGACCCCTGCTACCCCAGCAGAAATCCACCAAGGGTAGAGACCTTGGCGAGTTTTGTTTACTGTGCAGACACTGTCTGTGGCCAGCCTGCATCCCCCTTGGGCTCAGGTTACTGGCTTGGGCAAACCACTTGCCCTCAAGTCAGCTCTAACTCATGGCATCCCTATGTGTATCAGAGTAGAACTGTGCTTCATAGGATTTTCAATGGCTGGGACCCTTTGGAAGTAGATCACCAGGCGTTTCTTCCAAGCCACCTCTGAGTGAATTCAAACTGCTATCCTTTTGGTTAGTAGCTGAGTGCTAAACCGTTTGTGCCACCCAAGAACTTGCTGCCTTAGGCAACCAGGGTTTAAGTCTCATTGGAGAACTCTAGATGACAGTAGAGAACACATCTCAAGTTGACCCACTTGAAGGCCAAGGAAGTTGGGGTGTTTATCCACCAGATCCCAGATATCATTAGTTGAGGGCCATCTGGGGGCTGTTAACATGCTAGCACTTCCAGCTTACCCTGCCTGCTGCCACTGACCTGGAGAAATGACTCAAGCAGAGATCCAAGGAGTGAGCGGGAGAAAGCCCTCGGGTCCAGGTATACTGGGAGAGTGAGCACCCAAGAGGATACAGGCTGGCACACACAGTGTCTGCACAGTGAACAAAACTTGCCAAGATCTCTACCCTTGGTGGATTTCCACTGGGGATGTCTGGGGTAGTCAGACAAGACATCATAAGTAAATTATATACTATGTTAGAAGATGATACGTGCTGTGGAATAAAAAGAAGAGCAGGGTGTTGGGGAGTGGGAGTTGGAATGTATAAACAGACTAATTTTACAAAATCAATGAAAGGAAAGTTTACATTATATATCTTAAAATTATATATATATATATAATGGCTGTCAAGTTGATTCAGACCCTATAGGACAGAGTAGAACTGCCCCACAAGGTTTCCAAGGCTGTAAATCTTTACAGAAGCAGACTGCCTCATCTTTCTCCCGCTGAGTGGCTGGTGGGTTTAAACCACCAACCTTTTGGTTAGCAGCCGGGCTCTTTAACCATCGCTCCACCAGAACTCCTTCCAAAAAAGATTATAGCTACAAAGGAAAATGGAAATTTTCTTTTTTTTTTTTTTACTTGTATTACTTCTATACCTATCACCATAACATAACAATGGTTAACATTTTTTTTTCCCCTCAAGGTCTCCCCTCAACCCCAGATGCTCGTTTTCTTGTGAGGTTTTAGGCATAGTATACATATCATTTTATTCCCTGGTTTTCACTTGCCATTTTAACTCAGCTCTTCTATCTGTATCCAATGCCCACATGCTTCCTCTCCACCTGCCCCCTCAAGGTGCCTGCCAGAAAGTCTGAAGCTGGTCTCTCTCAGTTTCTTTACCTCCGGGTGACAGTAGGCAATCCCACTAATCCCAATCTCCGTGGACTCCAGCTAGCCAAGGCCTCCCCAGCAGCAAGAAGGAGAGAGGTCTGCTGAGAGTTAAAAAACAACCAAACTCACCGCTGTTGAGTCAAATCCGACTCATAGCAACCCCTCCTTGGGTTTCCGAGGTGGCATCTCTATGGAAGTAGATTGCCCCGTCTTCCTTCTGAAGAGTGGCTGGTGGGTTTGAACCACCAGCCTTCTGGTTAGCAGTCAAATGTCTTAGGCACTATGCCACCTAACTACATAACATGTAATATGCCTAAAATCCATTAAGTGCATGGCAGGTATTGGTTCCCTTCCCTTGTGTTGTTTCATTTTGATGGAGGGTAGGTGAGGGAAACCAGCCTAGCACCATCTGGGGGTCTTTCTACCAGGCAGCTGCCGTCCCTCATCCTCAGCCCAGCAGGCCATGTCCCCCAGCCTCTCTCAGGAGTCAGTACTCATGTCACCATGACAATATCATTTCTAATCTATATTTCAGGAGAGACTCCACGGACTCCAAGTCTTCTGCCACCTCCTCTCCAAAGAGGCCATCGATGGAAAGGTAAAAGATATCTTTATCCCAAAGGTTCTTTTCAGCATGTGTCCCCCTCTCTGCTTTAATGGAGGAAGCCTGAGACAGGAGAAAGGAGGAAACCTCATACACGATGTTGCCTCCAAATTCTAGGACCCACATAGTGGGCTTCTGAATCAGAGATGTGGCTCCTTCACTTGGATGGCTGACCAGTCACTGTGGCCCCATCACTGTCAAGAACTCTCTCAAGGTCAAGCTGATCATGATCATGAGAGCCTGTGCCTGGGGTGAGGAGAGTTAAGGCAGTTGACATATTGGTTTGAGCTCAACTGGTTACCAGGTGTCAAAGTAGTGTAATTCATCAAATTATGCATTCATCAAATATGTGTTGAGGATGTACTATGTGCCAGGGACTGTTCTAGGTGCTGGAGATACAGCAGTGAGCAAAACAGACAAAAATCCCTACACTCATGGGGCCTACATTCTAGTGGTGGTGGGGAGGGGATTGGAGGCAGATAATACATGTAATGAAACAAAAACCACTGCCATAAGTTGATACTGACTCATAACAACCTTACAGGACAGAGTAGAACTAAACCATAGGGTTTCCAAGGCTGTAAATCTTCACCGACTCAGACTGCCACATCATTCTCCTGTGGAGTGGCTACTGGGTTAGAACTGATGACCTTTAGGTTAGCAGCTGAGTGCTTAACGATTGTACCACCAAACCAAAACCTGTTGTCTTCGAGCTCCTTAATACATATAATAGGTAAGTAAGTTATACAGTGATTTAGAAGGTGGCCACTTGCTAAGGAAAACAATAGAGCAGAATGAGGAGGATTGGGAGAGGGCATCACAGTTCATTGGGAGCATCAGGAAAGGCTTCACTGAGGAGGTGATCTTGACCAAAAAACTTGAAAGAGGTGAAGGAGTTAGCCTTCAAGGAGGGCCATGAGGTAGGATGGTGCCTGGCAAAGTCACTGGCTAGGTGGCCAGTGTGGCTGGAGTAGTGTAAGTGAGCAGGGAGAGTAGTAGGAGATGAGGACAGAGAGATAGTGGAGGCCACACTGAGTACAACCTTTTACACTGTCGCTCTGAGTTTAACAGGGAGCCACTGGAGGGCGTTGAGCAGAGGAATTATATGAATCCATTTCTTAAGGTCCCTCTGGCTGCTTTGCTCAACGTGGATGGTAGGGGGAAGGGGTACAGTAGGGAGACCAGCCAGGAGGCTCTTTCGAGAGTTCAAGCAAGATACCATGGTGGCTCAGATCAGGATGGTAGCAGTGGACATTGGCAGAAGTGGTGGATTCAGCGTATATGTTGAAGGTAGAGCTGACAGGATTTCCTGACAGCTTGGATGTGGGGTATGAGAGAAAAAGCAGAGTTAAGGATGACTCTAGGATTTTTTGCTTGAATGTCTATAAGGATGGAGTTGCCATTCATTGGTTTGGGGAAAACTGTACCTGAATCAGATTTGGGCAGAAGATAGAGTTCAGGTTTGGCTGCGTTGGGTTTGAGGTGTATACTAGTCACTGAAGTGGAGAAGTCACATACAATTGGATTGTATGAGGCTCGAATGCAGGAAGAAAATCTTGCCTGGAAATACAAGTTTCATAGTCGTTAGGGTGTAACTGGATGAGATCACTAGAAAAGATTGTGGATCAAGGAGAGAGTGTGAATTGTTGTCCAGGAGGGAGGTCAGAGAACAGTGCAGAGAAGCAAGGCCAGGGGAGAGCAGGGCAGGCCAAGAAAGAGCTTAGTGATGGATTGAGGTGAATGGTTCAGGAGATAAGTGCCATATTGGATGCTAGGATGGCCTGGTAAGATGGTAAGGATATTGGCTTCTGCAGAGTGTATGTGTGGGAACTTCATGGTTATTTGGGGCCAGAGATACTAAATGTCCTGGAATAGGAAGGACATACCTGCATAATGAAGGATTGTCCTATCCCAAAATGCCAGTAGTGCCAGTTGTATTTATTTATTCAACATAAGTATTTATACTTCTAGACTCCTCTCCTGACTTTTCCTTCACAGACTTGAAGCTTCCTGGCCCCCTCTCATAAAGCATTCTTTTTCTGAAGTTCTGTCAAGCAGAACATGTTTGTCCTTCTATCAGTTTGCCATTTCTAGCTGGTTCAATATTAGGAATGGACAACCAAAAGGAATAGAAAAGTCTTCTTAATTCACATTATCCACTACCCAGACCATTTCCTGCACTTTCTCTCCGTGTTTTTTTCTCTTCAGTTAATTCACTCATTTATTCGTTCATTCATTTGGTAAGCCCATTTGTTGAGCACTTTTTTGCAAACTCAGCATCCTCCAGGGGTCAAGGCAATGTGCACACACTGGCTGGCTAATGGAGACCAAGACAAACTAGAGAGTTTATGCACCGTCCAAAGGCATACCCACTCCCCAGCCCCCACTGATTGTTGCTTTACAGAAATGCAGGTCTTGTGTGCTATGCCTTCCAGTTTTTCAAGAAAAGCTGGACACCAGCTTTTCATATGAAACTCCCAATTTCAAATATGAGCAACCCATTCGTATTTTTCTAAAACACGGCAACCCACCCAAAATATATTGGTAGCCCTCTAGCTTGTGACCTTTGTGACCAGGCCTTGTGCCTGGTGCAAAGACTCATGGTCTCTGCCTTCATGGAGGCATCTCACTAGTGGAGAGACAGGCATCAAGGTGATTAGAGCAGGGTAGATAGTGCAAATGGTTTGCACTCATCTGCTAAACTAAAGGTTGGCGGTTCAAACCCATGCAGTGGCACCATGGAAGAAAGACCTGGTGATCTGCTTCCATAAAGAGTACAGTAAAAAAAAAAATCGCATGCAGCAGTTTCTACACTGTAACACAAAGGTGGGGTGGCCATGAGTTGGAATTGGCTTGACAGCAATGGTTTTAGTTTGGTTTTGGGGTGGATATAATGACACAATGGGTATAGAGGAAGAGTGTCTCAATCTGGCTTGAGAAAGTCAAGGGAGACTTAATGGAAGAGATAGTATTTGAACTGAGAATTGAAAGATGAATGGGAGTTTGTATGGTAGACAAGCTAGGAGAAGATATCCCAGGTAGACAAGCTAGGAGAAGATATCCCAGGTAGAGGGAATGGCATATGCAAAGGTATGGGGTAGTATGAGTGACCGTGGTGTTCTGAGAACTGTAGCTGGAGTATCAGGGAACAGACCACGAAGTCCGTGACACAGAAGAAAGTTGCACTTTATCAGCCACTTTAGGACAGAACTGTACATAACTGCTTAGCTACTCCGCCTCTTCCACTACACTCCCGCCAAGCAAGTTACAGGTAGTCCTTAGATTACAAATGAGTTCCATTCCTAAATTCATAGCAACCCCTCCTTGGGTTTCCGAGGCGGTATCACTATGGAAGTAGATCACCCAACCTTCCTTCCGAGGAGTGGCTGGTGGGTTTGAACCGCCAGCCTTCTGGTGAGCAGTCAAATGCCTTAGGCACTATGCCACCAGAGCTCTCTTTTATGTATGTATATATAAAATATTTCAAACAGAAACAAAGACTAGTACAATGAATCCTTATGTGCCCATAACCTAGCTTCAAAAACTAATGGCTAATGGTCTTTCTTTCTTTCTTTTTTAAACCCCTTCACTCATATCAAACCTGTCTCTTTATTATTTATTTTCCCTCCTTTCCACTCCCCTCCCATCCCTGGTAACCGACGAAGAAAATTTCCTTCTCTGTGTAAACCTTTCCTTGACTTTTTACAGTAATGGACTCATATATTTATCTTTCTGTAATTGACTTATTTCACTCAGCATAATGTCCTCCAAGTTCATCCACAGTATGAGGTGATTTGCAGATTCTATGTTATTCTTTAGGGTTGCACAGTACTCCATTGCATGTATGCACCATAGTTTGGTTATCCATTCATTTGTTGATGGGCACTTAGGTTGTTTCCATCTCTTTGCTATTGTAAATAGTGCTGCAATGAACATGGGTGTGCATATATTTATTCATGTCCTGGGTCTCACTTCCTTAAGATATATTCCTAGGGGTGGGATTGCTGGATCAAATGGTATTTCTATCTCCAACTTTTCAAGGAAGCACCATACCATTTTCCACAGTGGTTGTACCATTTTATAATCCCGCCAGCACTATATGAGATTTCCAATCTCTCCACACCCTCTCCAGTATTTGTTGTTTTCTGTCCTGTTGAACTTTGCTATTATTGCTGGAGTGAGATGGTATCTCATTGTTGTTTTGATTTGTGTCTCTCTAATGGGTCCAACTCGTTGGTATATAACAACAACAACAACAACAATGGCTAAGTATGGTGATTTAGTGGATAAGGGGCTTGACTGCTAACTGGAAGATCAGTGGTTCAAACCCACCAGCTGTTCTGTGGCAGGAAGACAGGGCAATCTACTTCCATAAAGATATACAGCCTTAGGGGATATAAAGTCAGTAGGGGTTGCTGTGAGTCAGAAACAACTCGATAGCAGTGAGTTTGGTTTTTAATGGCTAATGATTGTGAGCATTTCTTCACGTATTTGTTGACTGCCTGAATATGTTCTTTGGTGAAGTGTCTGTTCATATCTTTTCCCCATTTTTGAATTAGATTGTTTATCATTTTGATGTTGAGGTGTTGGAAGTTTTCTATAAATTTTAAAGGTAAATCCCTTGTCAGATACGTCATTTCAAATATTTTTTCCCAATCTGTAGGTTCTCTTTTTACTCGTTTGGAGAAGTATTTTGATGCACATAAAAATTTTTAGAAGATCCCAGTCACCTAGTTTCTCTTCTGCTATTTGTGCATTTCAGGCTATGGTTGATAGTCTATTTATGCCATGAATTAGGGCCCCTAAGTTTGCTATGAGTCAGAGCCAACTTGATGGCACCTAACAACAACAAGTTAGCCCCTATTTTATCTCTGATGAACTTTATAGATTTGGGTTTTACATTTAAGTCTTTAATCCATCTTGAGTTTGTTTTTGTGTATGGTGTGAGGTATAGATCTTGTTTCATTTTTTTGCAAATGGATATCCAATTTTGC